GCGTACCCCGGCCATCCAGGCACCTATCCTGGCTCACCAGCAGCACCGGGGACCTACCCTGGAGCACCAGGAGCATATCCTGGAGCACCGGCGCCATATCCAGGAGGACCAGCAGGACAGGGACCGTATCCGGGAGCACCTGGAGCATTCCCTGGAGCGCCAGCGGGACCGGGGCTGTATCCTACCCCAGGACAACCGCCCAGTGGCCCTGGGTTTGGGCCCCCTCCTCCGCAGGGGGCACCGGCTCCTCCCATGGTAACAGCTCCATCATATTTTAAGGGTTTCAGTGTCTTCACTGCCGGGTCTTGCTTGGCCGCGGGAGGGATGCTGGTGGGGGGCGGGGGGGTCACTGTCTCACGGGGCTGTCCCGCTCGCTGTGTTCTCACACTGTTACCCAGCCCGTGCCTGAGCATTCGGCTTTTGACATGCATTTTTACTAACACCAATTCCCCTTTGTTTCCCAGAAACTCCCCTTTGAGCTGTCCTTGCAGGCAGGACTCATCCCTCGGATGCTCATAACCATCACGGGGACTGTCAACCCCAACCCAGACAGGTATCAGGGGGTGTCCAGCACCCAGGGCGGGAGGTTCTATGGGGTGCTGCTGGACAGAGCAGGGGGGCTGGAATTTGCCTTCTGTTCCTGAATAACACCTGCCTGGTGTAAAATCAAATATTACATGAAATAAATGTGTGAATGCCCTGTCATTGCCTAATGGGGGCTGTGGGTTTTTTTTCTGCATGCTTGCTGCTACTTTTGGCAAGCGCTGTAACAGAGCCCAGAGCTTTTGTAGAAAACAGCAAATCCTTTATTGTCTTTGCAGGTTTTCACTGGATTTCAAGAAAGGGAATGACATTGCCTTCCATTTTAATCCCCGCTTTAAGGAAGACAACAGGAAAGTCATCGTCTGTAATTCCATGTTCCAGAATAACTGGGGAAAGGAGGAGAGAACAGCTCCTAGGTTTCCATTTGAAGCTGGAAAACCCTTCAAGGTAACAAAAACCCCAAACCCACGACTGCATGAGCATGTCCACATGCCACCGGGCGGGACTCAGCTGGCAGCAGCCTTTAGCCAGCACCAGCCTGCTCAAGTCTGTGGCTTAAAACTTCTTCCTAGAACAAATTTGATGGTTATCTTCTGGCTGATTTGGGGTTTTTATTTCAGCTCCAGGTCCTTTGCGAGGTGGATCATTTCAAGGTAGCGGTCAACGACGCCCACTTGCTGCAGTACAGCTTCCGTGAGAAGCAGCTGAATGAGATCACCAGACTCTGCATTGCTGGGGACATCACCCTCACCAGTGTCATGCCAACCATGATATAACTACAGTGCAGTTATATTTGCATTTTAATGCAAACTTAGTGCTTTTAGTATGGCTGTTAACAGAAGTGCCTTCTTACGTGAATACTTCGAGGTAATAAAACATACTTTCACAAGTAATACTCATTTTCAATAATATCTCAAAAGACACAATATCCTCTGGCAAGCTGAGTTCAAATGTGGATGTATTTGAATTCTTGCTGTAACTATAGAGAATTTCTTTGCCAAAGGATGATGACTAGGAGATGTTCCATTTGTATGGAGGGGAGTACTTGGGAAAAGCAGCCTGTAGCTTGCTGCCGCTGGTCCTGTGAACTAGGGCAGCAATCTTCAACCCCATCTTCTCTAAGTACCAGACAGCAGTCAGTACCTTGGTATTTTTAGCCTCAGTTGCTCTGCTAGGTAGAACAGTTATTCCTTTTTCACTAAGGGAATCAAAATAGTGCAGCAAAGGGCTTTAAGCTCCCCTGTGCAGGGGAGGAAGAGGTGCATGGTCAGGCTGTGAATGGGTTGCACGTAATTCATGAGCCTCTGACCCTGACTAGAATGAGGTATTTCAGAGCTGGAAAAAGCAAAAAAATCCCTCTCCTGGATTATGGCTAGAAAAGTTACCCCCCTCCTTTTTTTCAAAGGCCCATTCTGCCCATATCAGCATGTCCTGAACACAGTTCTCTCCCAAGGGAGGCCCAATTTATACAAGCGTTACATACTCTGTGGAATGGGTCACGAGCCTTGTGCTTCTCTCCCCTCATCACTTCTGTGTGAGTCAAGACCAGTTTCAAGGGTGGGGAAGTTTATTGGCAACTTCACCTCATGAGTCAGGCTGGTAAAAAAAAAAAAACAAACAAAAAAAACCCCTGGTACGTTCCCTTCACTGTGAGTCATTCTCCTGGCCTTGTCTGCAAAACAAGAACAGCGCAATAGCCACTACTCAAGTTTTCAAGGATCTCTTTGACGTGTCTCTCATTCCTTTATAACAGTCACTTCATTTATACTGGGAGATGCCAAGTTACGAGCAGCACAGTGTTGAAATTTCCAGCAGACGCGGTAGCCTAGACCAGCACACAGCTAACATTGGCTTAAGTGTATATGTCAGACATCAGAACTCCCTCGTCATCACTATTCATGGCACAGTGTTGATGACTTAATAGAGGAGGAAAGTCATTAAGAGTTCTGTTTGAAACTATGCCTATAAATGGAGTTTAGTAATGAAGAAAGTGGATTCCAGCACAGTAACACCAAATCATGTTAGCTTCCTCTATTTATTTCAGTGTAATCAGTACACAAGCTTCCAGGTTAAAACTAAAGTCAGATGAGCTCCCCCAGCTGTAGTGGCAATGCCTTCTGCTGAGAGATTTGAATTAGCTTTGCTTGGATTAAAATAAAGGCTAGCGGAAGAATGTGTGTATTACACTAAGGTCACCATTACAAGAAGAAGCCCAGTCAGGTATTTGTTAAAAATACAGCAACTGGAGGTACTCTAATACTACCACTCAAATATAGAGTATATATAACTGGCATGCTCCTTATGCATAAACATATTACAGTCCAGATAAAAGAATGCGTAAGGAACAAGATGCGAGAAGAGGCTGAGGTTAACATGTCAGCTGTTCAGAGAAAGAGGTTAAGAGATTTTCACATGAAAAAACAAAGAAAGAACAGGGTTTGGCTTGAAGGTACTTAAGATATTCAACAGATAACTGTGTTCTTAAAGGAAAAAATAATCAATGCTTATTTTAATACACAGCCAGGAAAAGATATTATATGACTTTTAAATCCTTGTTCTGAGGCAGTTTCTACCATTACAAAGTAAGTGGTTGTTAAACAGCAGAAAGACTCCCACAGGAAAGAATTACATGCATCAAAGCCTGTCCCATCTGCTGATTAGACAGAGTTATTAATGCACAGAATACGGGAGCCTAAGGGGGCAACAGTAGCCTCACAGCAGCGACTAGGTATGAAGCAGTGCTTTGGGGGAGGTAACAGGCTGAGCCTTACCCCCAGAAGGTGCCCTCGCATCAGAAATAGGGCACAGGTACAACTAGTCTGATAGGCATCTCATAATAATTCATGAGGTAAGCAAGGTCAGGACAGAAAAGCTTAAAGATTAATAGTTTAACAACCTGAAGTAGACAAGGAAATACTTAAAAGTATACAAAAATAAAAATATTTCAGGTGTAGGCAGCATATGCAATCATTGGATACAGCAGGTATAAACCAGCAAACACCCTGCTATTAAAGTACAGCAGTACTTACAGTGCATAATGACTGCACCATAACACGTTACAAAATATTTTAATAAGTTCCACTGCAAAATACTACAGGTATTCATTCACTCAGAACACAGTTCAAGGGTAGCAGACTGTATTCCAGATATCTTCTGTATTTTTTTTGTTTATATAATTTACACATTTAGAATTTCAAGTTACTCTTCATTTTTCCCCAGAGGAAGAAAGGGGAGAAAATACAATAAGGTCACTGACTGCTTCAGCTGCCGCAAGCTTCTGGGCTTTGCTCTTGACTGGAGTGAAGGGAAGTTCAGCATCCAGCATTGGCTGTGGGAGAAATCAGAGTGTGAAGGAAGCGTTGGAGGAACAATTATCTGCTCTGCAAAACGCTGCTGCAAGGACACAGGAAATAAGCTAATAGCAAATTACCCTTTCTCTAATGACATCTATATAAACACCCGACCAACAGTACTTACTGTCAGGCAACTGCCTATGTATGTTCGGTGCCTGCCTACTTCAGAGGCCACTTAAATATCGTGGGACAAAAAATAGCAGAAAATGCTTTTGACAAGGGAGCAGAAGCATGCAATTCTCTTGCCCCTCAGTACTGTGGACACATCGCAGCTTTAGGATAAGCAAAGCGCCGATCTGTCAGGCAGATCTGAAACCTGCAGAAATTCAGTAGATGTACTAAGTATACCAAAATGTGCCTGCTTAAATACAATACTGTTTAAAAGCAAGAGTCGCAGTTCAAAATCATGTATCGCTGTAAGTACCGTGACTTTCCTAAGAGAAATTTTGCAAGCTCATTTCCAAGCATAAAATAAGAAGTAAATATGTCGTCCATTTCAAGCAGTAATCCATATTTGAAGAGCACTTTTCACATGAGACCAAGGAAACTGTACACTCAAATTCTTTTAACACTTGGGAAAGTTTTTGCACACCTGCTTCTCCCTGTTGAATCTTACTTCCAGCTCTAAAAGATAAGCCATAGGAAGTCATAAGGCCATAAGAAAAAAGGGATGGGACAGATCTGGAAAACTCCAAGAAGAAAGTGGAAGGCAAAGGCCAGGCCCTTCAGTATGTTAGTAAATACTTACAAGGAAATTCACAAGAAGTATAATTTAAAGGATCAATCCGATTAGAATCAAACCTTCTTCTGTTACAAATGGCTTGATTCATCCCAAACTCATCATGTGCAATAAGGAATAACAACGTGAGCCCAAGCAGGGAGACAGGAGTCGTGGCTTGTATTTGGAGGAAGTTATATGAATTGGCTTGATAACATCTTACAAAGTTTAATTTACTTTGTGCAGGAACTGATTCTGTAACATGCAGATTGCCTTAGTCAAATAAATCTGAAGGTCAACTTACCATATCAAAAGGATTTCTGTCAATGGATGTCACACATGAAACACCTGAAAAATCAGATTATTTCATTTAAAAATAAAAAGTCTGATGCTGCCAAAGCTAAAAACCACAGCATTGTTTTATGCATTTACTGAAATAAAAAAACAGCTCTAAACTGTATTTACTTCTACTTCAAGCCTTTTATATTAGCTTTCTCCTTCACATATCACATGGAAACTATATAGAAAAATCTGAAGGGCACTGTTTGCTCATGTGCAACGCATGTGTAAGTCATACTAGCTAAAGGAGGTTTTGCTCACAACATAGATTAGCCAAGCTGCAGTGATGGTGATTTCAAAGAATAATAGTTAGACTATTATAACACTTTAGAATAATCATAAGGCCCCAGCAATACCACACAAACTACACTAAGCAGGTTTAAGATATGCACCTGTTTGATGTATTTTTGGTTCTCCAGACTGAACAAAGTTACTCTCTGTGCAGGTCTCCTTCTCCGGACTGCACATGACAATATCTTGTCCTTGTTGTTCTGCAGATAGTTCCATCTCTTCCATGCCAACCATTACTTCTAATTCACTGCTACAATTTTCCAGCACCTGAAAAAGAGGAATTTTAACTGTTCCTTGCCTTATGAGAGGCTAAGATGTCTGCAGTAGCTATATTTGCTTCCCAGAGAGCCAAAAGGAAAGCATCAGTGAAATCAGATGGACATGAGGCAGCACCTATGCCACTAGGAAGCTTTCTTATTTTCTGTGTTGTCTGCGATAAAAGGATGTTTGTCAGCTTTTGATGCAGAAGCACAAAGGTGAAAAGGTAGCCAGGCCATTCAAGGGATATGAGTTTACAGAAACCAGCATGTCCCTGCTGTGTCAAACATACATCTAATCTGCAGTTAGACTTTACCTCAAGAAAAGCCTACCAGCAATACTTAAAAGTTAAAGATTATCACAGTTTTTCCCAGTTGGTGACATCACCAACAAGCAATTTGTCATTTGACAGGGAAAGGATGAAGTAAAAGGCGTAAGAACAAATTAGTAACCAATATTTTTTTAATATATATTATATATATGGGGAGGTGGGAGGAGGAAACGACTGCTGTATTCACACACAGATCCAACCAGTAAACAATAAAAGATTTTCCGCTTCCAATGAAATGTACTAAAGGATGATTAACTGCAAAGCACTGGCCTTCACTGAGTAGCACAGTATCATCTAAATTATGGAGGTTGCATTCCTGATTTTTTAAGGCTGCTCAAATGTAGGCAATGTCACCAAGTCCTCAGACATTGCAGGGCATGGATTGCTGGACTCCAATACTCGTATTAGTAACACTGCTCTTGCTATACTTTTAAAGAGTATAACAGCCCAACGCGCTGCCTGTTGCCTTTAGTCATGGTCCCCAATTGCAAAAGCATTTAAAAAAATTCACACCAGAAAACAAGTAATAGACTTCAAGGAACATTACTTGCCAAAGTGACAAGTGTCGTCATACAGGAGCCAACAGGACCTCCAAAAGATAGGTCCCAAACAGCTAGATAAGGTCCCCAAACTGCAGCAGTCCCTATCTATGTCCATACTGAGAAGGAAAAAGCACCAGCCTGAGGAATACAGAAGATATCTTGATGAGGATTTGATTAGAAATCCATGTGTCTGGGGCTCAGAAACAGAATACTTTTTTTTTTGCTAATAATAATAAAATATTTAAAGCACATAAATGAACTAATCATGACTTACCTTAGTTCCCTCTACTATGCCAGTAACAGGACAGTGCTCTTCTGCAACTGCAGAAATGCTAAAAGAGAAACCAAAATGCTTTCATTCTTCTCAATCACCTTCATCAGTCACCTTCAATCATCTTTCTTACCCAGCTGATCTTACAATTTGTTCTACAATTATGCTTGCTTGTTTGGCACTGGTCAAATTATACCAAATTTTCTGGGAAAAAAAATAAACTTCTACCCCAGCAGCAAAACTCTTAATATTTGCTTGAGGGAAGGAAAAGCCACAGGGACTTTGCAACCTTTATGGCTCTCAAATTGGAAGGTAACATTCAATGGGTATTAATATTAATTCTTTCAATTAAAACTATACAATTATTTGTATGAAGTTAATTAAAAGCTGCCTTAACATGTCTACCTTTGTTCGAGAAAACCACCAGGGAGTTTTTCCAGTGGGAGAGTTTTTCCAGAGGGAAATTGGTGCATTTTCAAATTTTGTACTGGGTGGAAGCCTTTGAGCTCTGGTGGTGTTTGTTTTGCAGTTGTATCCTCAGGGTTATGAAGAACAGAATGAATGCTCTGAAGCAAAGCTCTACTGGATGATCCTGGAGTTGTCAGTTTTTCAGAAGTCCGCTGGGAAGATCTGCAAGGTGTCTTTGAAAGCAAGCCTGGAAAAGTGTGTTTAATGTTTCATTACTACAGCAGTTTCCAGAAGATGAAATTAACTGTTTGGATTCTAGCTAGCAACACTATTGTTTTCTGCTCACTGAATTGTGTTATACAAATATCATATTGAAATCTTATATACATTGCAAGGAGAAATTGAAAAAAGATGACAAGACTAGGTTAATGAGTTACAAAACTACCTTAACTCTAGCTGAGCAATTTAGTAATTACTCCCCCTTCACAAAAAAACTGAAATAATGAGACTTGCTGTTCTTATTAAAAAGTCTAGCTGGTGAAAGCTGTTACTAATTTCTACCTTTCACATTAGATAATTTTAATAGAATTAGAGATAGAGATTCAGAATTGATTCTTATAACAGATTCTCTGCTAGAGATTGCTTAACCCAGTGTTGCTCAAAGCTTTTCAGAAGGTCTCCTCTACTAACAAGAGGCACAGAAAAAATTGCTAGCCTTGTGATAAGAAATCTACACGCACAAAAAAATAAACTGGGAAATTCAAAGTCAACTTACGAGTTAGAAATGGGAGACAAGCAGAATGGCTGCAAAAGAGTCAAGATTACTGAAAATACTGGCTTCACATAGAATGCAATAAGTACTGAAAATAAAGTTATATTTTGAGTATCTGCTCAAAAAACACCCTATTGGACAGCTTCTATAGCAGACTGGAATCATGTTACAAACTTGTTGAACATGAATACAGATTATGGGTATACTCTATTTGCAGCTTTGAAGACAGCACTGCGAAAGATTTAGTTCGAAAAAATCCCAGTTCCTGTTTTACGAGAGGACGACATTAGCCTGCATTGACTTTGATGAACAGGTTCATCAGCTAAGTCTGGGAACACCCAGATTAAAACTTTAGTGTTAAACACATGCTGAAAAAACATGAACCAGCCGCTTTTAGCTCTCTGTCTAAGCAGAGATTCCATACTGCCATGATCACTCAAATCAGTATGTTCATATACAACAGTCTACTTTGGATCCCTGATGTAATTAACCATTAGTTGAAATAGTGTCCAATACTGGAGTTGTGTCCAGTATAAACAGCATAATTCCTCTTCCCAATGGGATTGGTAAAACTCTCTTCAGTACTTTCAGGTCATAGAAAGCACAATAAAGCTTCCCCCACCTGGAAAGGTTTTCACAGGGCTTTCGATTCTGAAAAATCCTGCTTCAAAAACCACTTTTTCTACTTCTGGTAGCTTCTCCTGATGTGTACCATCAGCAGATCTGTCATGCCTCATTTTATCTCTCATAGCTGCTTTTATGGCAGCAAGTCGGTTTCGGGCAGCAGTTCTTCCAGCCGCTCCCAGGTTTGGTTTAGATACCGCATTTGGAATAGCCTTTTTCTGAAATTGTAAGAAAGTCTAGGTCACATCAGGAAGTTTCAGATAGAAGCAATTGCACATGAACATGTACACAGCTGCTGGCCATGCATACAGACAGCAACAGGCAAGAGACATGCTGGAGACAAGGTCTCTGTTCATCTCCAGAATGTCTTGGACTGCCATTCAGCTATTAGGTGATTTGTGATGACAATATTAAGGATTTTTCGTATTGAGCCTGCAGTTCAGAAATGCTCAGCATAACTTTTTTCTAACAGCTCCAGTTAACGTTTTTGGAAACAGTGGGATACAAGGACTCCTAGTGGCAGGTAGATAAAGCAACCGCAGGGGAGACACCAGCCAGCCAGCAAAGTCTCTCCTGGTGTTCAGTTTTTCCACAGAAGTTTTGCATCTTGTACCATCTGTTGGGTTCTGACATTTATAGGCAGATCACACAGACTACATTCCCGCCAGTTTCCTGTGCCTGGAGTTTCTTACCGACCTTCATATGATTTTGATGACTAGTTGAGCAGTCTCAAGGAACTGGATGAAGTTAGAAGCAATAATATATTCCAAACCAAAGAGTAGATGAAATAGCTTGCATTAAAGCTTATTTTGCAATAAGCAATGACTTATTTTGGATAGTGTCAGAACCATTTGTGCTTAGAGAACTGGCAGTATAATGCTACCCTTGGTACTGTATTAATGGGACACCATTATAATTTAGCACTCACGGCTCAAAACTGGCCATCACTGCCAAATTCCTGGGTAGTTTCCTTTTCCATTAAGCCAGTGCCAACACCAGTGGCCCAGAGAAAGTATTCTACATCTGAAGGGTAAATGCCTATTCTAAATTTAACAGACTTGCCTTATTATCAAAGAATCATTGTTAATTCTTAGTTCTAATCTTCCTAGCCAAAAGAGGCAACTAACATTACAAACAAGAACTAATACAAGCACACTTGGGAGAGACAAGGGAGAATGGTGCACTTTGAGAGGAATTTCACTGAATTTTAAAACATTAACATTTAGACAAGCCAGATGAGTAGGGCGTTAGAAGGAACTTCCATTTAAGAAGAGTATTCATTATTGCAATAGCAGCTTACTAGTTGTTTTAGATATCTCAACACACTGTTGCATCTTGATGCCTTAGGAGACATGCTTTAGGGGCACTTCATACCTTGACAATTGCTTTGTTTGGGACATCAAGTGGTTGCCAGTCATTGTCTTGAAGCCTCTTCAGATTATCAAATTTTTTATTCACATCTTCAACCTATTGGAAATCCCAGAGAGGTCCAGGTTTAATTTGCAAGACTTCTCAGATTCACAATAGAACAGTGTTTCATAAAATCAGGTAACAAATTTAAGCATAGTCATGCATTTAGGTACTTCAAGCGATGTTAAGTATTAAACATTCTCATACTGTTGACATGAAGCTTACACTAACATACATAAACTTTGGATTAGATGATAAGACTGGCATAATTTCTGTAGTGTAAAGGTTAGTAGAGGAAGTATAGAATCAATGTTAGTAAGAACTAACATCTAAAATGAAAGACCTGGTTTACAATCTGTTCTCATACTGAACTTAAGCACTTTGACAATGGTTGCATTTAAGGAATGCAAAAGAGCACGTTGCATAATAGTTTTTACTCAAGCAAGCACGAGTCTTCCATTATGTAGGAAACTCATCATGCAAGTTTGTTTGCTCTTTCAAACTGCTGGCGTGAACAGCTTCATGATGCAGCCTGTGCTTGTTCATGACAAGCTAGCTCTGCAGCATTATCTCCTCCCTGACTGATACTCAACGCAACAGCCTTGTTCTCCTTAGGCTTTGTAATGGAGACACTTGCCTCACTTGCTGGTATGGCCATACAAAGCTTATTTACGTACAGCAGACCAGTCACTGAAGTGACAAGTCCTTTACACCCTCCCTGAAACTAAGACGACACAAACAAAAAATTAATGCAAGAAGAGGCAGAGTTAGCAATTCCGCTGCTCCCAGTTTATCTAAAGGAAAAAGTGGGGATGCTCAGGAGAAACTTGAGCTGCTCCCAGATTCACGGTAAACATAGGTAAACCCTATTTTTCAAGCTACTGGTTCTAGCAAAGTTCCTCTCAGATATCTCTGATGTCTAAGCAGGTCAAACCCTTAACGCTTTCTGGAGGGAATTAAAGACCTACGACTAGGACCTTAACAATAAATCAATCTTTGTATTTCATTTAACTAGTTACAAGTTCCTTTGTTGAATGCTGATTTACAAATCAGCATTAATCTGGGGTTAAACCATGACAACTGTCAAAAGCCATTTTGATAATTTAGAATATTATATTTCATTCTGAAACCAATGGAAGTATCAACAGAGAAATAGAGGTGAAGGTTTTCTACCACCCAAGCTTACCCCTAAATAAAGTTGTTATTGTTTCTGTGGTATTCTTATACTGAAACATGGAACCCCTACTTTTCAGGTGAGCTCCAGGAATTTTCCAAAAGCTCCCAACTTTTGGTCCAGGTAGACATTGTGACTGTATCCTCACTCCAAACCAGAATGAGATTTGGCTACACCCCTTCATTCCAGAGAAAAACGGGATACACAGGCCACAAAAAGACACAACAGATGAAATGGTCCATGAATTATAAATCATAGTACACCAACTCGCACTATTCACTATCAGAAAATGTTAAACAAGGACCTGCATTTTTTATATTAAAAAAGTCAGAATCTGAATATTCAAAAAAAGATGGAATAGTTTAAATCCATTGCTCATAAATAACACCATCAACTTTATTCTAGTAGGTTAGCATGCAAGTACATACCTGAAAATTAACCATGTCCCAAAATCCATCTAAGTCTGTACACGTCGTTTCTTTTTCACCTCGTTTAAATTCACAATTATCCACCAGTCCTTCAAACTGTTTAAACCTTTCTGCTATGAGCAGTCTTGTCTGACCAACTGTAGTGCGAATAAGATCTTTAGCTGATAGCAACAGAAAACAATAAAGTACACCTTTGAATAATCCATCATTTCACAATTGATTTAATTATTACAAGAGTCTGGAATTTATTTATCATTTGAACTAACTTCCCCTAGTGCAGACCTGCAGTACAATTCAGAGGGAGCACACCTATTCATTGAACTGCTCTAAACTTGCTTCCTTCCAAAAGTGTTACGATCTCTGTAAGTCTTTACGATAAGCACTGATGAGTCATCTTCATTGTCCCAGATAAGGACATTTATTCTATATTAAAACCTAATTTTTGGTTGAAGTTCAGCTTGGTTAAAGTTCATACATTTAAATACTCTTAAAACTGACAACAGAAAAACTATTTTGATAGGCACTTTGTTCACTTCAGTGTCAACCACTATCATGTCAAGTACTACACTTAAGTTTTAGTATTAGGAGATAAAGCATGCCTTTTGTCTTGAGGCAGATAAAGTTTTTAGAGTTGTATCTAATACAACTTCTGCTAAGTGCTGTAGACAGTGCTATTTTGCAAATATATTCAGACACATGTACATCCCTCTGTCCCCTTCAATTACTGTAACACTCCTTCTCATGCCTACTACAGCTCAGTCTTACCATCCTCTGGAATGTCCAGCTCAAATTTTCCATCCCACTGGAGGCACTGAGACATCAGCCTCTCTGTCTCAGACCGAAGAATATTTCTAAAAATAAAGGGAGAGTGAAGAAATAAGTTTTTTGAGAGAATATTCTAACTGCTGTCACTACTTGTGACCATTGATGATTACTATCCTTTTGCTTTCAGAGAAACTACACTGTCTTTGAGCAGCAGCCTGGTTTAGTTTGCTGACTGGCTGAGATGCAATTCCTTTTCCCGTGCTTTCAAGCTTGTGTTCCTTAGGATGCACAATATAAAAAGAATATAAAATTCTTCACTTGCACTGTTAGTGCAATACAAAAGGGAAGATAGGAATGTGTGCCTACTCAGGTCACTGCTGACAGACACCAACCACCATAAGCTAATCTTATAGCTAATCATAAGATGTCTCCTTAATCATGTTAAGGACCCCCGCACTGACAACAGGGAAGTGAAACACATGAACACAAACCTGAAATAGGGCACATCATGCTCTTGCTCTCTCACATTGTCTGACTTCGTTTCGAGTGCTGTTGTATCCGTAGAGATAGGAATTGTTTCATTTGATCTCTGAATGGAAGTTTTCTCATCTGATTCACTTGCTAAAAAATAGGAAAGGCATTTGTTCAGAATCTGGTGAAAACTAAAAACATTGGAACAATAAACTAAGTATGAACTTCCTACCTTTTTCTCCTTTCAAACTTGTAGGGGTTTGCTGTTCTTGAATGTCTTTACCATCAGGTGAAACAGGACTTCTAAAATTAGGCTCTTGTGCATTAGTTTCACTGGATTTTTCAATTATATTACTGGAAACAAACAAAAAGTACATTCAGAGTTAAGACACATTGAGAAACTGACATCAAATACGGCCAGATACACAAAAATGCCCCATTTGGTAGGCGATCTTACATGCAACACTACAGAACACAAGCAATTCCTATTAAAATTAATAAATCTGTGTGTATATGCATATATATATATATGGCACAAGTCCCTGATGTATGGAGCTGCTTTACTTTACATCAGACAGGATTATAAGTTATACAGTTTGCTTTGCTGTTCTATTAAGCCCACATTTGATTAAGTAATTATAGCAGCCACAATGATTAGGTGTTTCAATATCACAAGTTTGTTACACAGGGAATGTCTCTACAGAAAGATAATGTTTCCTGTAGCATGACAGAGAGGTTCACTTGCATTTTTTAGGCCATTAGAAGAAAGAATCTTACACTGGAGATTCTGAAAAATCCCAGAAAGCATCAGGTGTTAAAAATGCATTTGCCCTAGAAGGAGTCATGGGTGTAACTTTGTAAGTCGCTAATCCATTTAACGGTTGAAACACAAAGTTTTGAGGTGCAAAAGAGCGTGTTCTGGGTCTCCCTGGAGCAGAATTGTTTTTGTTTTCCACTGAGGTTTGTTCCTGTTGAAGTTCTACTGATGCTGAATGTTTAGAATCAGCTGCAGAACCTTTCATCACTGGATCCAGTTGAGCATTGTTATCCACTTCATGTTTAGAAGGAATTACCTATAGCAGCACAAATAAACAAAGTGAACACTACATTATCAAATCAATGAAGTCTTTACTATGGGCATGAGCTGAATTATAATATGACTGTCTGAAAGCCACCAGGAAGAGAATAGTTTCAGGTAAGTCGCTTTCTACAATAGCCTATGTGTACAGAAGTCATGATTTACTAATAGGCCCAACTGGTTTTGACACCTGCAAATCAGTCTAGCAACAGGGGTAGCACTTCACCATGAGGAGTGCTAAAGGGGCTAAAGGAGTGCTAAAGGGATCCATGAGGATCCACTAAAGGGGCTAAAGTAGCAGAACACCTCACCTACCAAAACAGTAATTAAAGTTAGCAAACGCTTGCTCCCACTGCTAGAAAAAAAAATACTTTAAGTTGATAAGCTCCTCAAGAGCAGAATTACTGGCTCCAAATCCAACTAGGCCTGTTGAATAATCACAGTTTATACACATACTGTAATCCAAAGACAGAAGAACAAGCTAAATTAAGCTGATAGCTGAGGAATGCAGCCCAGGACAAGGAGAATACAAGTGCAGTTAGGACCACAGGATGTCATTCAAAGAGGAGAAAAAGTTAATCGGTATGTTGAGTCTACATTCCTATCAGATGAGTGACTAGATACGCGTTCTGAATGACTTTCTCAGATACATATACTGAGATATTTGACCTCAAACCAGCCCAAAGGGCTGTTTTTTTCCGAAAATATGCATCTTCAATCCACTGAAAGTCTTGTTATACTTTAGATACCCTTGCTTGGAATGTAAGCCTTGAATTCAACTTTTAACACACTTCTTGTAACGAGATGACTGAGGTTACAGCAAGAGTTTAACTGGCAGCACAAAGCAACTCCTGCCTGTGAAGAGGTACTTATCTAAACGAAGATGTAAGTGCCTCTTACCTCCTGTCAGTGTTTGTACGTGACTGCACCAGTTTTAAGACAATACTAGAACACAGCTGCAGTTATGGAAACAGGAGTGGAGATGGAAGGCGTGAGGGAGACACGAGGGGAGGGGGAATAGTGGAGTGCAAAGAAGGAGAAACATCATTGACGTTTCTTGCACAGGACTGTCAGCGCATGAATGCATACGCAGATTGTTTGGGAACCTGGGTTGGAGGGCTATGATGAAGTCACATACTGCTGTCTCTATATAGAGGTAGAAAAGTTTTGTTATAGCAGTGACACTAAGAACCACAATGACTGCCTTTAATTATGATAAATCATGTTGACCTTGCAGAGAATAACATTTCCAGCTTTATTTTTTGGTGCTTCAAAACCTAAAAATGCATTTATTTCTTAACTTCTAGAGTCTCATATCACCACCTGAGCAGGAAAAGGATACATTCAGAGTATGTTTCAAAAAGGAATGAACCGCACAAAATTTACATACACTAGATAAAAACCAGCAAACTAAGCAGGCTTTTTTTTTTTTACTAAACATCAGACATCAGATGTATCATGTAAGAATTTGTCTAATTTAAGTCATCGTCCAGATCCGGAGTAGTAATCAAGTCATCCATATAATCAAACTAAATTTGATCTTAATTTTCAAAATACAGCAATATAAATACACACGTCTTCCCAAAATCTAGCTTATTAGTGAACTTACTACTTCTGTGCTTAAACACAATTATATTTGAAGTACAATTACACTACAATTTGTTATTTGCTCTTAAATCACTTTTATTGCTTTTACATTTCAAATATTAAATGACCTACCTCCATGATGTCAGGTTTGACTGCTTGCTTCTGCTTTCCTACATTTGCTGTCTTTCTCTGTGACTGGTTACCTAGAATGAGAGAAACTCCCAAAGGTCAAAAAGGATCTGATTAAGACAATCTTTCACCAAAAGATTGTCATAAAAGTCCAGTGGTTAAAGACAGGGAGAGACTGTTTTGTTTCTTGAGTGGGAGGTAGCTAGAAGGCAGACACCTAATTGCAAAAGTTCGTTCAAAAGAAAACCTGGCCTAAGATTTAACAGCCTATTGAGAGATCTATCACAAAGAAAGGAAAACAGATTCATTAAGCCGTTAGTCTTTAGATGTTGTCATATACTAAAAGTAAGTGTCACCTTATTTCCTTAAAGGCTGAAGAGATAGTGTCAAGGCAATTTGAGTTCAAATCTTTAATTTCTATATGGCATAGGACTTCTGTAGTTGAGTTGAAACCAACACTAACACAGCTGTGCTTTCAGCCTAGGGGTTAAATTCTGTCACGTATAATACAAGGGATACTGCAAAACATTCTGGAGAATATCCTAAGAATATATATTAAAAATTTTCCCTTCAGAATCCATCATGTTCCCCTATTCTAGTAAACAGACAAACATGGATGAAGATAAATTCCTGACCTGAAGAACAAAGGCTCTCATCTCTTCTAGAGGTATGATTTAATTAATAATCATATGTCCTTAAACAGCAATACACCAAACTGGCAAATCTTTACACTGGTCCTGGTTTTGTCCTTTCAGTTTACAACTACCATATGGAAACTGATGCTCCAAAACTGATGGATTTGATGGGAAACTGTCCCAGTGTTGGTTTCAACATCTGGATTTAAATATTGCAATAGAGTTCCAGATGAGAGTCTAAGTGATGTAGTATTTAGTCCTTTTCTTACAAGGCAATTTGGCATGATTTACATACAGTCTATCTATTCAAAGGAGACAGTTACACAGCAGAATTTAAAATGCTAAGACCGTTCAGAACAAGCTAATCTGTATCTCTACAGCACAACAGAATGCCTGAGATTTGAGCAAGATCCCAAAGACAACAGAGTTGTCTTAGTATATCATTTGATGACAAGTCTATCAGCAGCATATAAACATACATATATTGTTTCCAGCGCTTGCTTATCCAGTACTAGATGGTACCTCTTTGCAGCACACTATTCCAAGTACTTACTTATCAGGTTTGAGCTACACAAGCAGGACTATATTCACTGCCTCACTTACCAGCAGTAGCTGTTGTTTTCAGCACCTGCCTAGCTGCAGAGGTGGCCGCTCTGGTGATTCTTACATTTGAGGTTGTCGGGACTGTAGTCTGCAATACTATAAGAAATGTTAATTCCAGAGATTTCAAAGCTTAATAAGAAGCTGCATTCAAGTAATATAATTGAAAGTTTACATTTTGTAGAAATCAGAAAAGTGCACTAGCAATTATAGTTGCGTCAGTTTGCCAGAATCAACAGGGGGTTTTTGTCAGTTCAGTGCAAGCAGGGCTAAACATGGACAGCACAGCTCAGCCTTGGCATCAAGGCAATGCTCTGAAGAATCTTGATTGAAGACGGTTTTGTTGTGCAGTAGTACCTCCAGGACCTAATAATATCACGGTACCAGTGTGCTAGATGCCATGTACAAAGCTTGAGGAACCCTTCTCAATGTTCCCCAGAATGAGATTCAGCATCATCCCTATTTTACAGATGAAGCTTTCTAGAGTAATAACTTGCTGTGGATATTTGCACATCTGGAAGCTTAAGCAAACCACCTGTGTAACCAGGTGATTCCCTGGCCACTATATGGAAGTATTTTAAGGTCTAAATTTAATGTAATCTAACAGAGTATTCTTAAGATGAATTGCACCTGAAATATTTTATAAAATATGACAAGTTCATGCACTGTATTACCCATCTTAATAATTTTCATCTTTGTATTTTAGTACAGTTTCTAATATCCTTTAAAAATGACAGCATATATGCACAGAAAAATTTAACAGGAGTTCTTTATTTCATACCTTCCCTTTCTACATCTGCCTGAAATCTGGTAGTCCCACTTGGTTACTGTTAATGTTATTCCTGTTTTTAATGTCAGGCTGAAATTCTGTGGAAGCTAGAATTTCAAGTTGGGAAAAAAATTACTAGATAACTAACTATACCATTTGATTTATCTAAACATTCATTTCCCTAACTTTTTTTTACTAGCATTTAAATACATATAATGCATATTCTTGATTCAGCAAAAAGGGAATAGTCAAGTCTAGTGGATAACAGTTTTTCAAAAAATTAAATGTTTTAATTGTTATATCAAATACTGATAATAGATCTTTCCAGTATTCACCAAAGGCACTACTGAAACTTATTTAAATAAAGGCCTGCTGCTTGCTGATTTAATTAAATTAGCAAGGCAAAAGTCATTTTACTCTGAATTACTGAATATCTTGCATTAACATCAATATTCCACATGACAACCTTATCTACTTGAGGCACGGACATCACTGTGCTATCAGAAAGAATTTCTAATCAAAAGTATTCTACTCCCTTAAAGGCAGCATGTGTTGGGGTTTTTTGTTGTTTTCTTAAGAAATGTATGTAATTGTCACATAGAAAGTGACAGATACAGAAAAGGCTGTTGTAAAATACGAAAATGTAAGATTGCACTTCTCATTTATTGAAGACGACAATCACACATTTACTTAGTTGCACTAGCGTGCATCAGAAGTTTGGGCTCCTGTCTCCAACATTATATGCGAATGCGCTTTACCAGTAGGCTATCCTTTTCCAAACCTTTTTCAATGCTGACTTACACAAGCAGTTTCACTGAGAGACCACAGACAACAGTGTATTTGCTGTATAGACAGAAGAAAGAGTTCACTGCAAATATTTAGAGCTCATACAATCAGCTATTTTTCAGGCTACCCACAATACCAAGGAAAACTCAATTTTACCTGTGTCAGCTATTCTTCATCTTTCCAGGTGAAGTCACTTGTAACAGTCTTCTGTAATAGCAGCAGCTACTACATGTGATATTCTTCTTAGAGACAAACAGAAAGCTCTGCACAGCTCCAGAAGCTAAGGCTGCTAGCATCGTGCAATTCTGCCTACTGACTTTTTCCCTCTCCTAGGGTGAATAATCAGTAACCAGGACAGCTAGTATCCTGCATTCCATTTCCCACAGCCTATAGAGACCACAAGTACATGCAATACCTAGAGCCACACACATGATAATCTGCCAGCTGCTGCCCTTGTCATAGTTGGTAGGAATGGCCATCCTAAAAACTCCTCCTGGTTTCCTACACCCAAAACTGTACTGTGGATCTCTCCCAAAGATGTTCCTCGCCTCCCTCCTGCAATGTCACAACAACTGACTCATGAAAAAAAACCAAACACCACCACCCTTTCAGATTCAAATGTAGGGATCATCCTACTTCCATACCTTTCTCTTTTTCAGCTGCATTGTCTGTACTCATCTGTTTACGACCTGCTTGTGTAGGGCGCACACTATGCCCACTGGCACAGACCTACAAGAGAAGATAATTTTTTGTGAAGTATCAGATTTCCAGAAATGAAGCAGCCTAATTTCTTTCCCCATCTTTCTATCCAAGGCTCCAGTAAAACAAATGGTCAAATAATTTGTCACAAAGGGCTTTAAAGAGACATTAAGGATAACTAAAAAAGCTCATTTTAGACACATGTTAACATGCATTAGCCAACTAATTAACAATTTGTCAGAAAAAGAATGAAGAAAAATATTAAGAAACAGTTTCAGTTTACTTTGAAACTAAGTGTCAATTACTGCCACATCTTAGTACATATTACGTGTTTTAAAAATCAGTTTTCAGAAAAAAAAAATCAGTATTAACATAGTTGTCCCTTTGTAAAGTTATAACTGGAAATCCTTCAAATGCATTCAAGTTTTGTAAGACAAGATTGCTAGATTCAAAATATAGCTTCTTTTACAATTTACTGATGCTGAAATTCCTCAAAGAAACCCACTTTTTTTATACAAGTAATAGCAGAAGGGACTGCCAAAATTCACAGTAAAAATACGCCAACAGTGAATGATTTTTGAGTGAAGAATGAACTGACTCTTCATCATCTGCATCCATGACAGACTTTCTGCTTTCAAGGGAGATGCACTGGTTCTCCAAGCCAAAACCCAAGTATGTAACTTCAGTCTCACTACTACCTCTACACATATTTGCAGTCCTCGTTGACTACAATATTTTGTATTGAAAAACTGATCCAGAAGATCTGTGCACTTTTCTCTGTTTGTACTGACCCAAAGTCTCTGTAGTTCAGTTCAGCACAATAAGGTCTATCAGCTTGCTGACAGCTTTTCTGATCTAATTTGCCTTTCTCACCAGGAAAACATCCTTAGGGACAGCACTCAACTTGTAAGCATACAACCCTGAGTTATGATCTGAAGGATAATTGCATCCTTTTCTCTAAATTTATTCATTGAAGTTTATATAAAAAACCAAACCGTAGAGTTCTTAGATGCAGTTGGTATCACAGTTTTTTCTTCTTGCTTCTTGGCCTTTGATCGAGTAATCCTCCCAGAGAAAGCAGGAGCTGCCTGGAAACATCCCCAAGGAAACAAGAGTTAACAATACTCCTTTCCCCCCTCATCACTGTTAGAGGAAGCAAGAAGCCCAAGTGTGAAAAGCAACATGCCTGTGCAAAATGGGTCAAGTGTATAATTTTAAAAACTTTCAAAGTCAAGCGGACTAAAAAGGAACAAGTTACCAGTTCTAAAATAACTTAGCTGTTTCGTCTGTGGATGAATCATTACAGTTTTTGAACTGAGAACATAGTCATAAATGCAAAAACCAACATATCGCTAGTACTATCATAAGGTTCAACAAGGCCAAGTGCAGAGTCCTGCACCTGGGTCAGGCAACCCCCCGTATCAATCCAGGCTGGGGGAGGAAGGGATGGAGGGCAGCCCTGCCCAGAAGGACTTGGGGGTACTGATGGATGAAAAGCTGGACATGAGCCGGCAATGTGTGCTTACAGCCCAGAAGCCAACCGTGTCCTGGGCTGCACCCAAAGCTGCGTGGCCAGCAGGGCAAGGGAGGGGATTCTGCCCCTCTGCTCCGCTCTGGGGAGACCCCCCTGCAGGGCTGCGTCCAGCTCTGGAGCCCTCGGCACAGGAGAGACATGGACCTGTTAGAGAGGGTCCAGAGGAGGCCACAGAAATGACCAGAGGGATGGAACAGCTCTGCTGGGAGGACAGGGGGGGGCTCAGCCTAGAGCAGAAAAGACTCCGGGGAGACCTTATTGCAGCCTGTCAGGACTTTAAGAGGGTTTAGACAAAAGATGGGGACAGACTTTTTAGCTACTTTACCCTACTTTTTAGGGGTAATGGTTTTCAACTAAAAGAGGGAAGATTTAGATTAGATCTACGGAAGAAATTTTTCACAACGAGGGTGGTGAAACCCTGGCACAGGTTGCCCACCCCATCCCTGGAAACATTCCAGGTCAGGTTGGACGGGGCTCTGAGCAACCTGCTCTAGTTGAAGATGTCCCTGTTCATGCCAGGGGGGTTGGACTAGATGACCTTTAAAGTCCCTTCCAAGCCAAAGATACTATGATTCTACTATTTCCAGCTTTGTTTTAAAAAAAATGAGCCAAATTGCACCCTTATTGCTCCTTATTATAAAATAAATATTATAAAGTATTTACAAAATAAAGTATTTCCTTGGCACAACATACACAATTTTGCATACAAATAGAAATTTTAATATAGTATACTACATATATTTCATGTAGATATTTAATATTACTCTGATTACCTTCTCTCTTGGCTTCACTATGACTGGATCTTCAGGTACAAGCGAAAGAAATCCAGGTGCAGTTGGTCTATATAACCCAACTTTAAACACACCCTTTTTTGCTTTCTCTCTCTGCTCTCTCAGTTTTCGAAGTTCCTTTTCTTCTTTATAGCGCTGGAGCATTTCCTTGCGTTCATTTACCTTCTTGGTGGCTGCATTTGTAGACTGTTCTGAAGTAAAGATGGAAGACAGACAGGTTATAAAATCTTGAAGATATTTTTCCGCCAACAATAAGCAAGTCAGAAAATTTAAAAAAACTTTTTGAAGATAGAAGAAGAATATACCAAGTCAAAGAGCAGAAGACTGTCTGGAATCTGTGCCTGCAAGTTTCAATTAAAGTCTTCCAATGCAAATACATGTGATCTATTAGCTTGCTAAAAACTTCAGTTCTCTTAATTGCTTTAACCCTCCCCACTAAGCGTACTCAACGGTAAATTTCAACTTGCAAATATACCTCCCCAAATCTGCACCTGAGGGATTCTGTAAATTCATATCCATTTTACAGTGTACAGGCTGTTCCTGCAAGGTTATGAATCTTAAACTTAACACTTTAACTACTTAGCTTATTTGTACCAGTTTCTCTATTCAAACCTTTGTAATGTCATTGAAAGATGAAGTCTAGGTCAGCTTTAGATACCAAATCTGCCTCAGGCTGAGAATAAATGAAGCAGGAGTTACATGAAAGAATAAAACCTTCAGATCATGCCAAACTTAAATTACATATCTGTCTGAAAAATTAGTATCCACTTAAACTTAAAATGTATTGAAGATAATCAAGATATAAATTTCTTAAATTTCATATTTGACATGATTACATCGGGATTGCACTCCTTCCTCTGATAATCTTCTGCTATCAAAATACTGAAGGTGAAAATATTTCTAAAGAAATCTGCTACCATTTTAAAGATTAACTTTATTTCCTAGGCCACAAGAATCCAGGAGAGCCAGGGAGGCATAATTCAGTATATATGCAGGCCCTTTTTTCTGGGAGGAAAGGTAAGTCGTCAAAAACTAACAATATGTAAAATAACCATGCATTTACCCATTTATAGTTATATATACCAAATTATCATATACAACTACCCATTTCTAAATGTACTTTAAGCACATAGCAATATGTAAAATAACCCATTTATAGTTATATATACCAAATTTACCCATAAATAAAATAATAATAAATAAATACCCATATTATAAAGTATAAGTATACCCATATAATAAATAAATACCCATTTACCCATTTATAGTTATATATACCAAATTATCATATACAACTACCCATTTCTAAATGTACTTTAAGCACATAGCAGACACCAGTTATATGTTAGATGATATTTTAGAGCAGGGTTTTTCACTTGAATGACACAGCAATCATTAAGAGACTTCCCATTGAATATTAATAGCAAAACGCATTCTTCCTTTAGCTGCTGCAGACAAATGGGAGCAAAGCCTCATTCATACCACCAGAGCAGTGAGGAGGATAAAGCTGTATTAAGACTTTATTTTCTTGATTTTTTTGACAGTTAGGAGGACTGGTAGGTAGTAATTGGTTTTTAAAACTTAAATCTTCTTTTCTTCAAATTAAAATGTTGACCACAATTAGGTTCCTGTGATAATGTTATGAAATCTACTTAAAGACATTTCTAACATTTTAAAAAAAGCTTTATAACAAGTCTTTACTCACTCTGTTTTACACTGCAGTTCTCTTGAGAGCACATTTCACTTGTCTCATTTAGTTGAGAAATCCCCCTCTCTTTTGAGAGCTGAACATTGACATCTGCCAATCCAAACTGTCTGCCCTTTTCAAACAACTTGTGTCTGTTCTCCTTTTGAAGCATTGATTTTCTACGTGCAACTTTTGTTCTGAGGGTTTCTGTACTCAAATCCTTTTTGTATCGACTGGCAAACTGAGAAGTAGCAGCCATCTTGATGACCCTAGACAAAAATCATAATGATTAGGAAAAAAAGCTGTCCACAATGTTTTGATTTGCCCTTTTCATTAGAGTTTGCATATTATGAACAAAGCCCTAGGTTCTTTGTTTCTGTATGTGTACCAGAGAAAACGCAAATGACAATTTCAGTAATGACTTTTCATTATTTCTCTTTATTTTATGCATTCAAGGGGCTAGTTTGTTTGTTAAGTAGTCAACAAGTCTGACACAGAATTCGTAGGGGATGCTGTGTCACTGCCAGGGATTGTCCTGCTGGTCTGTTTTCAACGCAGATGTTTTTCAGGTTAAGGAGACAAGCAAGTAAATTACAAGGTTGTAGGACAATACTTGGAAGCAACATTGCTACTGAGCATTTAGATTATACCCTATCTGATGGCAAGGCATTTTTGCATCTTGGCACCATTTCCCAACCGAGTTTCCAGGATGCAACTGCAATACAATAGCCTTTATTTTAAGCAGGATTTCTCCCTACTTTTTTAATCTGAGGAAGACTTAATGCAAATGTCAGTTGGTCTGTACATGCTGTGCTAACGGCAACGTAAAAAGCTCCATCCCCTGCATCCCATCTTGTCAAGGGTTTTCATGCTTTCTGCCTGAAGAGAGGTCAGGATCAGTTCCTGCCAGTGGTCTTCCTCTGTCTGCCACCTCAACCAGGATCTTTTAGAAATCTTATCTTCCTTTACTTACAGAAAACAGCTTTACAGTAAGGAGGGTGATAGAGCTAAACTAAATAGCCAACAATTGCTCATTAACCAGTAAATTGGTTATTTACTGAGGTTCTTAATTTCAACACAGCAAGTTTTGATCAAGCTAAAGGAATCAACAGTGAACTGGACTGAAAGGATCAGCCTTGACTATCGGTATACAGGACTTCTTAAAATCAATCCTTTCCCCCTCCATTTGCTACTAAAAGCCAAAACCAACACCAGCAGCCTAACTGAAAAACCCAAATGAAGATGAAAAAAAGAGTACCAAAATAAGAAAACAGTTAGTAGGAATATCTTTCTACTATCTCCTAGAAGCAGCTGGCTTTTTAAGCCCAGTTGATGAAAATCATTCCTAAAAGCAGCAGCTAGCATCAACTCTCTACACCCTCCTGTGGACTTTCAAGACAAATTCCCTAAAATTACCTTAGGCATGTTCTTTAAGTACAACAACAGTCCTTTCAAAGTGCAGGTGCAATTTTTAATTCAGTGCTTTGATGGAAGGTAACATAACCTACAGTCATAGAATATATGCTGTTATCTATCAGGCAAGCTTACAGAAAGCTGCATTTGCCTTAAACACTTAAAAATATTTAATGCATTTAAAGGATTCTTATGCTCTACCTTCTACTTTGAACAATATTTTCCTAGTTATTGTAGTATAAGTCCACTTAAGGCCTGCCCCCATGAGTGAGCCTCAGGAGCAAGTGATCTAGGTTTCAGTAAGTAATCCTGCAGAAGAATTCATCTGAAACTTGAAGGCAGCAAATATAATATATGCAGAAATTCAGAGAAAGCTTCCCACAAAGGTATTATCAACTTACATCCCGGGTCAGCAAAAGCCATACAGGAGAGTACCTGCGATCTCTTTGGGCTCATTAAAAAAGTATGGCATGCTCAATGTCCTAAACATCTCCTGAGGACAAAAATACCTGTCTCCTTTTCTTGCCAGGTTATGGTTTCTGAGTAGTACCTTGCCCAAACAGGAGTCTAGAAGATTAATTAGAATTTAAATCGGCATAAATTCAAGTAAAGACTAGTAGCAGGAAAGGGAAAAAGGTCTTATATGAAAGAAAAGATTTACGACTGGCTAATATATACTACCAAAATTAAAGTTGGAAATTTATGGGATTGATTTTCATAAAAAAACAGTGAGGGAAAAGAACTACTTCTGACCAGCAGCACCACAAGTACCAAAGGAGTAATACGGATATTAAAACATTTAGGTGCAGTCAGCATTTTTAGCCTGAATAGTGACAAAGTAGAGCAGGAAGAGCAAATATAGTTATTTTTAAAAGCAGGAACCCGGCAAGTTTAGAGACTGAACAAGGCCTAGACTCAATGGTTTCGAGAGGGGGCCCCGGCGGTCACGATAAACTGAACACCACCTTCCCGTCTCCTGCTTCCCATCGCGGCGCTTCAGCGGGGGTCGCCACCGCCTCGCCAGGTTTTCAGGCCCCACCGCCCGTTACAAGACCCAGTCCCACTCCCG